ACAAACTTTGGTAAGCTAATTTTTTGTTTTGTTTTTAGTTTTTTGAGACAGAGTCTTGCTATGTAATTCAAACTGGCCTTGAACTCACTATGTAGTGATCCTCCTGTCTCAGCCTCCTGAATGTTGGGATTACAGGCATGTACACTTGAACATTTATTTTGCCTTTGTTGGATGATGTGTTCCGTGAATGTCAATTAGATTAAGTTGGCTGATACTTCTATGTAAATCTTGTATGTAGATGTACCCGATTTTCTGTCAGTTATTCACAGATAGCTACTGAAGTCTCTGACTACCAGCCATACAATGCAAAGGAAGGACGAAGAAGGGAGTTTCAGGTTATCAGCCTCCGTGTGTATCTCTGTGTGAACTGAGGATGTTGCTGCTAGGGGTGATACGAATTTTCTTAAAATTTGGTTAAGCCCTTTAAGAAACCCAAATAAGTGTGCCATTTAAATAAAAACAAAGTGCTTGCCATGAAAGTACAACTTCAAGGCAAATCTCCTTTGCATTCCCTTATCCCTTCCCTTTCAACTTTACAGCTTTCCCTACACATGCACACACTTCTCCCTGTGTGACATTCTGGAGAAACCACTGTTGGATAATGGCATAGTATTTGTGCTCTTACATATTTCACACACTTCGGTATTGTAGCATGAAGTATAGGCATATTCCTGAAACTTCTGAACTAGTGCACAGAGGGACATGGATTGTGAGTTTTGAACTCATACACTGGAGAAATGATTTAGGGATTCCATGCATCATAAGGAATACCTGCAGCTCAAAAGAGTAATTTCTTTTTTTTTTTAATTTTAGAAATAAAAGGAGGAAAATACTAACAGACTGACAACATTTTACAAAATAGCATAGGATCAGTACAGACATTACAGAGTTACAAACAGAGTGGTAGGGAATTAACAATGCTTATTGTATTACATATTGATATCTTCAATGTAGTTTCTCATATAGACATACAAAGCTAATCAACCAATGCCTCACTGACAGTTTCTTTCAGCAAGGAAATACAGGACAGTAGAACACCCGTGTTAACTATCCTGCATATACATATATACAAATTTTCTCCTTCTTTCCCTTCTCTTTTCCCATATCCCAGTTATCCTTTACCTATGAGTGCTTTCCTATCATTCACAATGTCTATCATATCTCCTAGATTAAATTAACTTCAAAAGAGTAATTTCAAGTACCAAGGTTTTGGCTAGAAACTGTCTGGTTTTCTATTTAGCACTCACAGCTACACTGATTGAAAGCTAAATCTGTTGTGTATATGTACTTTTTCACTTCCAGATACCTTAAACAAATTCTAATCTTTCCAATATTTATTTTAAAATTTTAGTTTGAATACCAAATTGATAGATTTGTAAACTTCGAATCACTATTTACCTTAGATCAGAATGGTTTCATGAGTGTTACTTTTATAGATTGTCAAAGATTCCTCGGGAGACATCAAGACTGTTGCATATGGACAATTTCTTGAATTATAGCACAGAAACTTTAATACCTACCTCAGGAATGATAGAGGTCCTAAATAGGCAGTCATATTTACTAAAGAAACCTAGAGTTTTCTTAGATTGCCAACCTTAGCATGACGAGAAATGTCAGGGTGACAGCGCTTAAGTGGCCCTTTTCAGATATATCGCATTGATTCTCTATATTTAAGACACAAAACAGCCTTCCAGGAGCTATTTAATTAAGTGAAAGTAAGTCTGGTCCCTTTGGAACCAAACGGTTCAGTGAGCAAATACATGTCAACAAGTGAGGGAGTGGGGCATTATTACAAGCTTTGCAGACACAGGGACAATTTATAACCCCATATCAGGGATCCAAAACTGTGATTGGCTGAGAAAATGATCAAACCGAGCTTAAATTTCCTCAGGTAGGAAACTGTCATGCAAAAGTCCAGGACAGTGTGGCACTCTCAGTCTTCACAGAGGGAGATAAGAAAAACTGGATTGTCAAAGTCCCTTGGAAGGCTTTTAAGGTAAGATGGAACATTCTCTTTACTCAGCCGACAGACTCCACTACAAAGAACTTTGCATGCCAGAGAAGACAACTTGATTTCAAAGAGTGAATACCAATTTTGTGATTAGATTTTTTTTCCTTTCTCACCTATCCTATGGAGAGGGTGCGTTAAGAGATAACAGGAACCCATGAGGAGAGGAAGGTCAGAATCCATGTGATTAAGAGACTACATCACCAGGAACCTGACCTTTCCACAGCTAGTTGCTCTTAGGAAGGGTAAACACATAAGATAAAGCAAATATCAGAGCCTAAAGTGATTAGAATATTTTATACATAATTGATTAAAACTCCACTACTGTTATTTTTATCCAGCTAAAAGAACTTTAGATCTAATCAGAGCCCCTTTGCAGCTTTGGCACTGCAATGAGATGATAGGATTTAATGAGAAAGGAAAGAAAAATATCTATTCCTCTTAAGCTAGTAATAGTAATGTGAAACCACCGACTCTTACTAAAATCAGATGTGGATTTGGGAGTTTTACTTAGCACATTATACTACATTTATTTAAAAGCCTGGCTTTTCCACCTAGTTTAGACTCTGTGAGAGAACTCAGTACCTGGCCTGTATTTAAGAGGCCCTCGTTGACTGACTGCATGAATGAATTCTAGTTCACATTTAATAGCCTAGCACCTGCAAAGTCAACTTCTGGCCTGTGAAATCAATTTTTCTGAGACGATTCTAGAGTTCTGAAAGCCAGTTTAACATACTTTTACTTAGTATATCTAGAGATTCTGACTTAAATCACACACATTTTCTGCGTCAGGTATTATGGTAGATTTGGAAAAAGAAGAACAGGTCACTTCCAGATTGGCAAAACTGGAGGTGGAAATTTGATTATCTGGTCACTTTGATTAGTTCTGATAAAAACTTGGGTAGCTCATTTTAAAAATCCACGCCAGGCTTTCAAACAAGCTGCAACTAGACTTTGCTTTCACTACTTTCCTAGTTACTTGCCAAGATTAGCTTGCTAATTACTGATCTCAGTTCATGGATGACAAGAAATGAAGTTGTCTCGTGGTAGCTTCTCAATTCCGAAGCTTCTGCTTCAGGCTGCTGACGTCTGGGCCATTTCTGTATTGAGCTTTCCAGTCTTTGCCTGCCCGGGGAAATGGTGACAGGCACCACTGTGATTGCTCCGGAAGAGAGCTCTGAGGATGCTGAGGGGACAGACTGACGGACTGCAGGGTGGAAACGGGGGCACACACTGTAGCCCTCATTACAGGGGCCTTTCCAGGACACACTGGCTCCTCCAAATCACAGTGTACACCAGCCCTGCACAGAGTCTCTGTAATAATCAGGTTGGGGACTTTGCTTACTAAACTGTATGACTTCCACCTCCCTGTCCTCAGGCTCTGCATTATACTTGCCCCAGAGTCACCCCAACCTCATTTTAGTCTGCAGCGTTTTTGACGGAGGTCCAGCTATTTTTAGCCTTTTGCTGAACAGCTACGAGAGCAAAGTTGTTTTCCTCAGTAGCTGTAGAACTATGTCCTCTCTCCTCTGAGGAAATACCAGTGATTCTTAGGACAGTTGGTATTCACTGAGGTTTCATTACCATTAAATTCAGTCAAGGCCGGTTTATGACATGCAGCATTATAACCTTTAAATCCAGTAGAAGTTCATGAAATAGGAGAAAGAAATCTTTCCATAATAATAGTATCACGACATCAAGAGGTTCAGTCTTCAATAAATAGAAACTTCAAATGTTTGATTTACACAGATAATACAATGTCTATTCCAGTGTGTGAAAAATATGCTCCAAATCAGTAGTGGTGAGCCTATGGCAAGTGTGTAATTTTTCTTTTAAAACAAAAGAGGTTAATATATGAATTGTTTTGTCTAAACTGAAACCTCAGTAGTTGGGTTTAAATGTAGTGTTGGCACTTTGTGATAAATAAGTGGGTGTTGGGTTGGAGTTTGGGAGCTTGGTCTCTAAAAGGTTCACCATCACTGTCCTAGATGCTTTCTGAATATGAATTCTAATAGAGGTGAGGAACCATATTTTTAGATGCCCCACATAGTAATTATCATCATTTATTAGGAGATTGTGAAGTGCCAGACCGAGCTGGATATGTTCATACTAAAAAGTATATATTCATGAAATGCTCTCCTGAGATGCCTTTTGCTGACATTTACATTGGAACACAATGATCACCAATACATTTGGGAGCTCGCCGGAGGGCAGAGGAACATATAAATAACCCAACATTTGCAAAACAGCTCAGCATGTTACTGACAAGGTGTGCAGGGATCTCTGGGTGTAAAAAGGAGATGCCAAAGGCCCTTTGACATCATGTCAGAGAAAGCTTCTCAGAGATAGTTTTTCTGCTAACCCTGGGGTACTCCAAGGTACAGTACTATTACTGTCCTAAGTGGGAGAAATAAAGTTTTAATGAAGCTACTCACATTTCTCAAGCTAGCACCACCAGTATTGAGATAGAATTTGAACCTAGGTCTCTGAATCCAAACCCCAAGTTCTCTGAGGAGCCTTAGGCTCCTGCTCATCATTTCTTCTCTGACAGTCTGGTGTGGCCAAATCGTATAGATTGGGTCAGAGATTACAAGAGCTCTATCTTTTGAACACAATTTTAGTGGATTTACTTAACACTTGGTTAAAGCTATTCAGAAGAGAGACTTGTCATTGCCCTCAAGAACAACAAAAGGACAAACTCACAGCTCTTCCCTCTGTGCCTCCATGGTGATGGTCCTTGGTTCTCACAGGCAGTGAAGGTCCAGCAAGTCACTTCAGTACTGACCCTGATGACACCCTCCCATGTTGCCACAGCCACGGAAAGTGGAATCTGGGAACATCAGAAATCTCCTTGGGTTGGATGCACACTCCTTGCCCTAAAATGGGGCAGATGCTACAATATATTACTGTGATTACCGCCTTTACATGAAAGTAACTTATTTTGTATCATTCTCTTTTTTTAAACAGCCATTGATTATTATTCCTTAGAAAAATGAAGATAATTATATATTTTTGCATTTGGGCAGCAGCATGGGCCATTCCAGTAAGTATGTTCCCCTCAGAAAACTTTCTTATTTTACTATTTTAGCCCAACAGAAATATTTCTTCAACTCTTTGCAGATAGGCTGAGTTTAAAAGTTTAGATTTGCACTAAAGAGTTTGCAAGGTATCTTCGCAGTCTCAATGAAAACAAATATGCAATCCAATTCTTGTTTCATTTCTTCAGATAAAATTCACATCCTGTCGGAAGAATATTTAAAAAACTTATTCAGATTAATATTTTTTAATACTCAGAAGTTATGGAGACTTTATGTTTATTTTGTGTCCTATGAATTTCATTCTAATAACAAAAAACCAATGCTGTTTAGAAAAAATTAAAGAAACAGCAGTATGGAAATTATGGTTATTAACATATGAGAAAAGTAATGTTTCAGTCAGAGAGCAATTATCTATATGCTTGCTGAAAAATCTGGAATATCTGAATAAAGGTGGATAAAGAAACACTAAACAAATCAACCCATGTAGAATTTTATTAGCCCGCCCCCATGTTTAACATTTTCACATGCTGTCTTAGTACCAAACATGCTGGTGTTTCTGCAGTTGAGAACTTTCTTAAATATTTCAAGTGTTCTCTTGCAGAGCCCAGGAGTAGTACTGTGTACTAGTTGATTTTGCATCTGCAAAATCTGTGTGGTCACAGCCCCTATTTCCTCAGGCGTTTTGGCTGGGATCGTACCTGTTGTGGGTCCTGTACTCAGTTCATTGTACAGAAACACACAGGGTCTAGCTCCTCGTCTCTGTCAAAGGCTGTCCTCCTACAGTCGAGATAAGTGGTGTGGCTAAAACGTCAATAAAATTGGTGATAACATAACAAAAAACATGCAGTTTAAAATTCTAGTTCTGTACTGAACGGCTTCTCTTTTCTACTTGGTTAGATCGTGATTTGACCTTTGTGTTCCACATTTCTTCTTCGCTGAGGGGAAAGGGTGTGTGGAATGTGCGTGTGCATGCATGCATGTGCTTGTGCAATAATTATGCACACAAAATAAGGGTCTGTACAATATTCAACGTTTACGCTTTGGCAGGTTCGTCAAATCAGACCACCGGAGAGACATGCTGTAGAAAAATCTGTGAATGTACATCTCCTAGAAAAATCAAAAGTGCCACTACAGGTATGGAATACGAAATGTGTTTTTGTGTATTTCTACTTCCAAGTGGTTTTTGCATTTCCTTAACCTTTCTAAAAATTTCATCCATCTTTCCAGCTTGCTTTACTGCAAGATGATACCCCTGGCTTACTTTTGAACTGTTTCTCTTCTCCAGAATGAGCTAAATGCCATTGCCACGACTGCAGAAGACGGTGTTTCTCTGCATGAAAGCAAATTAGGAAGACGGCAGTCCACTCAGGAGAGTTATGCAGGGGAAAGGACAGGCTGCGAGTGGACGCACAGAGGAGAGAGTGATCCCTCCTCCACCCATCCCACTTTAGCAAATACAGAGCAGGGTGCTGAGGAGGAAAGTGGGAGTCCAAGAAAACAGGAGACCCAGGATCATGTGGGGCTACACGAAGACAACAACACGGCAAGTGGCACCTGGGGACAAGGAGACACCACTGACAGTGCTGCGGCGGTAAATGAGAGCAATGTTAATGGAAATATTGACCAGAACACAAAAACGGGGGTTGTTGGCAATGCAGGCTGGGATGAGGATGCTGTCACTGTTGCCCAAGTAAATGGACCTCAAGAAGCTGGAAGCAATAATAGCATGGGCAGTGAAGATGACACAGGGGGGTATAACAGGGACCCCAGAGGGACACCAGCTCAGAAAGGAGGCGAGGGAAATGGGAATCAGGAGGCTGAGGCAGCGTCAGGCAGTGGGGAAGACGCAGGCCTGGATGACTCTGAAGGGAATACTAGTGGAAATGGAGCAGATGTAAATGAAGACAAGGGCTCTGGGGATGATGAGGGTGAAGAAACGGGCAATGGAAGAGAGGGTAGTGATACCAACAAGAGCCAGGAGGGTCAGTCTCGTGGCAGAGAAGATGACAGCAGCATAGGGCAGAGTTCAAACAGTACTGAAGATGAGAACTCTGAAGACAGAGGAAGGCTCCCTAAGGACGTGGGTGGAGACAGCACTTCCGATAGCCAGGAGGATTCGCATGCTGTTCCCGAAGGCAATGGCAGCCCAAGAAGAGAGGACACCCGGAAACCCAGCGACAGAAAAGACAAAGGTGTGGAAAATGGAATCACCGAGGAATTCAGCCCATGTGCCATCGGGAAGATCCAAGATAAGGTGGGTTTTGAATCTGATTTTTGTCAGTGGCAGTTGAAATTCTTTCCTTCCACTCTCTGATGAGGGCACCAAAGTAAATAAGGATAGTCCTCCAGGAACAACCTGTATCATTTGGATATTTAATGAAAAAGCTAGATCCTCATTAGATTTTGCTGTAGAAGCATTAAAAAAGTTGGACATTTCTGAACATTTGGTCACAACCCTAGAAAAGTCCACTCTCAATACTGATTTTACCGTGTAAGCTTTACAACTCCTGATGGGGAAAATGTGGATGGGTCCTTAACAGATCTAAGCCCCAGAATCTGCTCAAGTCCTGAATAAAGCGGACTTGGGCGAGCAACTGCTGAGAAGTACTAGAAGCTGGACTCCTACTCCTGTGGTCACTTCTTCCAATAACCCTCCTTGGACCAGTGCCATTTTGCAAAAACTCACTAATCAATCTCTTTTTTCTCTAATGTCCCAAAGAGAATAGAAATGGAAGGTCCTAGCAGTGGCGGCACGAATAATGCCACCAAAGAAATTGTGAAAGTCAGTGAAGACACAGAGGGTAAAGGACCCCATGGAATGAGCAGAGGAAACACCCAGGCTCGCGGAGAGAAGGACGGCACAGCAGGACCCGGCCCAAAGCCGGAGCTGGGAGACAAAGCTGGGCCCAGCAAGGCAGGCAGTGGCAGCCACAGTGACAGCTATGACAGCTACGATCTTGATGATGGGTCCATGCAAGCAGACGATCCCCAGAGCAGTGACGAGTCTCGGGGAAGTGACGGCACTGACTCCGAAGGTGACAATGACGGTAGCAGCCGAGGAGATGCCATGTACACCTCTGAAGAATCCAGAGATAATGGGGACAGCAGTGACTCAGGTGGGGGAGATGATGACAGCGATGACAGCACATCTGGTGCTAATGGTGGGGACAGTGACGGTGATGGGGACAGTGAGGATGAGGACAGTGATGAGCCAGAAAGCAGCGAAGATGAGGCAGCAGGCAGCGACAGTGGTGACAGCAGTGACAGTGGCAGCAAGTCAGGTAGTAGTGACAGTGACAGCAGTGATAGTGATGGCAGTGACAGCAGTGATAGTGACAGTGACAGTGACAGCAGCGACAGTGACAGCAGTGAAAGTGACAGCAGTGAGAGTGACAGCAGTGACAGCAGTGACAGTGACAGCAATGACAGTGACAGCAGTGACAGTGACAGCAGTGACAGTGACAGCAGTGAGAGTGACAGCAGTGACAATGATAGCAGCGATAATGACAGCAGTGAGAGTGACAGTGATAGCAGTGATAGTGACAGCAGTGACAGCAGTGACAGCGACAGCAGTGACAGCAGCAATAGCAGCGACAGCAGTGACAGCAGCAGTAGCAGTGACAACAATGACAGCAGTGACAGCAGTGACAGCAGTGACAGCAGCAACAGCAGTGACAGCAGTGACAACAATGACAGCAGTGACAGCAGTGACAGCAGTGACAGCAGCAACAGCAGTGACAGCAGTGACAACAATGACAACAATGACAGCAGTGACAGCAGCAACAGCAGTGACA